TAGTTCTTCACCATTCGTCTTTGAATCGATTCAGCAAGGAGGAAGCTACGGTTTCTAGTTTCTAGCATTTTTGTGTTGTGACTTCGACTCGTTCTTCACCATCCATCTTGGAGTCGATTTTCAGGGTTTCTAGCTCTTTTAGTATGGGTTTATGATTTTACAGGGGCTAAAAGCTACATTCGATTTTTATTATTTTTATTTTCATTCTTAGTAGCATGCCGCACTCGGTGATTTATCTCAACAATTAAGATGAAAAGGGGCTGCCCCAAAAAAATTCAAAAAAGAGGGAGACACGAGAACGAAAGTAGAAGGACATTGTTTCATTAAATCTTACTTTCCAATTTTTTAGAGATGTAGTGGATGAACATTATTTTATATATATATATGTGTGTATTTGTTCTCAATGTAATGAAGAGATAAGAGATTGGCTCTGTTCCCAGGGTCTCTTTTGAATCTGTTCATTTTCCATATGTTAGTTTTCAATTAGACTAGCCCTTCAAATTCCTGAATCTCCAATCCCTAGAGAATTATTATTGCTTCAGATAAACCATGGGGTTGAGTATGATAAATGAGTACAAAACTTAAATATGAGTATTTCTCATAATATATAAGATTAATTAGTTTTCACATAACCTAATATAAGAAATGGAAAAATGCAAAATAAGAAACTATTTTTATCTAGAGATCAGGAGGACATGGCATGCAGAAAGGTGACTTCTCTCCATGAAAGGCCCCTTGAAAGGTCCGGCTGGAAACATTGAAAGTCATGGTGCAATTTACTTTGACCACAATATTTTTCTTTAAAATTCCGAGAATTTTCACCTTTCCAGCAATTCCGGTGATGCTGATGATGTTTAACGCCTTTGAAGTGAAATCCGTTTTGAACCTCGGAACCGTCCGTAACTTATCAGGGACAATATCCACCGTGACATTCCTCCGCAGTGTCCGCCTTGCCTTGGCCACCCCCTCGATTTGCCCGGCCTCTCCCACCACCACACTGCCATAGTAAATTTTTGTGGTGGTGTTGGCAATCCTGAAACTTGCAGCGTTAGGATTCTTGACAGAAACATCGGCCAGGAGGGTCACGTTGACATCGGTCCGGAGGGTTCCGTTGGGAAACTCCTCCATTGTCTGGACGGTGACAGAGTTCATCCGGATCATCGGCTCCTCAATCTGGAAAACGGTGAAAATGAGGACTAAAATCACTACTACCAGAATCAACAATAGGGCAGCTAAGCAACCGCAGCACAGGATGAATCTTTTCCGGGAGTGGTGCTTGGAGTGCATGAATAAGACTTCATCTTCATCACTGCTAGTCCGGAAGGTCAGTGGCGCAAAGGGTCTGACCTGCTCCTTCTTCTCCGTCATCGCCGGCTACAGATCAGAGTAATCTGTATATTAGATGGAAAATAAATGCTTAGTTTCAAAGTCTTACAACTATTGTTGTTAGAATGTGTTTGTGTTTTTGTTCTAGTCCTAAACGCGTTTGCATGAGTTTCACGGCTTGACTTCTGACTTTGGGGGGTTCTTTGGCTACAAATTCCGTTTGAACTGATGGAAAAAATTAAGAAGAAGGTTCGTCCTTTTTTTGTTTTTTTTTGATACATTGAGAAGATTCTTCCTTATTTGTAGTCAATGATTAATAGGAATTCAAGGGATAATGTGAAAGAAGGAAAAGAAGGAAATTAGGAAAGGCCCCAGAAAAAGAGGACCAGAAGAGTAAAGAAAATGAAGTGTCCAGGAAATGTCGCGGAAATAAGGCAATAAGGATTTAGGAGAAGCAACCGAAGGCCAGGGAACAGTAGCCCATTGAAATGAATGCTTAAGGGCTAAGGCCCTTCTTATGCATTCCAGTCCAACTATCTCCCCATCTCTCCTTTTATTTACCCAAAAATAATAATTATTATTATTATCATAAAAACAATTTATCTCTCCTTTTGCTATATTAAAGAGATGTATGAATACTAGAAGGAATTTAATAGAATTAATATTCACTAATATAAATAGTTTTTGATTGGGGTTAGAGAGAAATATATATATTTGAATTAATAAAAATGTGTGGACAAAAAAATATAGTAAAGATATGAGTTTGTAGATTTCAATTTCTAAGCTTAAAATGATGGAGATGAACTTAAGAAAGAGAATAATTATCTCTATTATATAAGTCACTTATCACATGTATAAAAAAAATTTTAATAATTTTTTAAGATAATGATATAAAGACAATTTACTTATAAAATTTTTATTTATAATTTTTGTATTTCATTAAATTAATATATATATACAATATCTAAAATTTTAGCAAAATAACAAAAATCAATTATTAAATAAGATATAAAATTATGTAAAATAATTACACAGATAAAAATTGTACCTTAATTATTTCCCAATTTTTTTCAGTTCTTGTGCCTTTACCTTTTTGGGTGCTATGCTAGCTTTTCTCAGCATCTATACATTGAGTTGAGTCTACGGAAACTTGCCTTCTGTATCAATCATTACCATTTTATTACAATTTCAAGATACAATGTTTATTTTTTATTAAAAAAAAAAATCTCTATGTAGTGAATCTCAAACTCAAAAAGATAGGACTCAACACCAGATTCTTTGAGAAAATTATAGTTGACTTTGTCATGATTGGAATTCTGGAGCTGGAACAAAGACAGCTTTCCGAGAACTCCTTAGTTGTTTCAATTAGTAATTAACTCAGGTTGTGCAGAAGTACAAGGAAGATCGTGGCCCTGTATGTAATGATAAATATCAATTAATTTTTAGTGTATGAAGAAGTTTCATTTAAATACTGAAACAAAGCTGATTTTGTGATGCATTATTGTGTTCGGTCACATGCTTTTCAATTTTCAACCCTTGGCCCACGCTTTCACTTTCACAACTCATACACCCAATCAACATAATTTGAGGGAGAGCATCCTGCTATGGTAACACACGCATAAGGCACAATATGCATATTGGAATTCAGCCTAAAACAGGAAAAAGCCTATTTAGAACTGATAGGTCCAATGACTTACAGTATGTTTTTCTTTTTCTTTTTCTTTTTTTGACTTAGGGGAATTGTTGGGATATGGGAGAAGTACTTGGGAAACCATTCCAAAATTTTCACATCTAGACATGTTCTCACAAAAAGAATGGTCATTAGGTCACATAGTATCGCACTACAATGTGTTTAGTTAAAAAAAAAGAATAAAAAGACTAAAAAGGATTGTCATCCAATAAAATAGACTCTTAGACTTTAAATTTAAAGTAGGCATTACTTGTAAAGTCTTTATTGATCAGTTATTTCTTAAGTGAGATCGAAATTAAGTAATAGCAATTTGGATTTCTACGCAACAATGGTATCTTGTATTGACTCGGGGCCCCATGATTGAGCATGTAGTGGCTCTTCCTTAATGGCCGGTCTCCCCATACCTTATTTATCCCATCAGATAATTAATACTGTGAGAACCTCAACATTCCCATTGTTATTCTTCACCCTTAAGACTCCCAAATCTGCCAGCTCAAACTCAGCTGTTTTTTTAGGTAAGAGCTCTAAGGGTGTTTGTTTTGATTTTATAAAACTTGACTTTAATAATTATTAGTTATTAACTATTTACTATCAGTTATCAGTTTTTTAGAAAAAATTAATCTAAAAAGCCTACCAAATTCAGATGTTAATCAGTAACCACAAACAATTCTCTTCCAAAACTCATAAAAATGAACGAACAAGAAAAGAGAGAGAGAGAGAGATTGACAAAACCTCAATAAAGAGATAATTACAGCATAAAGGGAAAAGATAAATTTTCACACAATCTAGCTAGTTGCATGCTAAATTGTCCACTGCATCTCTGTTCAGATCAAGGGTGATGATGCAATTCATCTCCTGTGTCCTTGTCTTCTCCATGATTTTCAACAACCGAACTCTTCCACTCAGTTTGGCAAGGCTGTTGAGCTCCAACAACCCTAAATTTATATCACTGCTCAAGTTCTTCATTCCTGATCCTCCATGGTATTTCACGTCCGCTGTAACGTTTATCTTTTCCTCTGCCCTGGCTCCTGCTCTCCCTTCTGGAATACTCAAGTTTCCGACAACTTCAGAACCGTAGTAAATGCTTCCAGTAGTATTCTGAAACTTGAAGTTTCCGAAGTTGGTGTTCGTAACAGTGATCTCTGCGACAAGTGTTATGTTAAAGAAAGGAGAAGAAGAAGTTCCGTGGACAAGCTTTTTCACCGCAACAGATGATATCTTTACATCGGGATTTCTGGGTCGTAACACAATCGATGCAAAGATTAATACGACCGCACATATGATAACAATTCCAGCCAGAAGACATACAGGAAACTTGCTGCTCTTCTTTTGACGGGGCTTCTTTGGGATGTTTAGGGTTCCGGACTCCATGTCGCGTTTTGGATAATCTTGAGAAGGTGCCAGTGGCAAGGCCTGCAGGTTTTCATGCATGATTTTAGGAAGAAAAAGGGCCAAGGGACGACAAACAGAAACAGGATGAAGCAGGAGAAAAAACAGATCAAAAACCGAAAGTTCCTTTCTCCTTTTTTCTTTTTACGAGTTATACACAGAAAGTACAAAGGTTTATATATATATATATATACAACAAGTGAAGGAAGCGTGTTGAACCTGTGTTGATTAACATTCCCATTCAGGGTCGGTTTTGGAGATTAATTAAAAAAGATGTAAGCTCTGAATCTTTTTAATTATCAACAATTAAGCCCTCATACTTTCTTTTTGTAACATATCAACCCCTCAATTTCTTGAGTTTGCTGAATTTTTTCTTAAAAAGAATTGCCTAAAAGACAATTTGTTCAAGCTAACAATGTTCTTTTTTTAACCCCTTCCCACCTCATTTCAAGATTCAAATAAAAAACTTACAATATAAAAACTTAAACTTTTAATTATTGAGACATTTTTTAGATAATAATATTAAAAAGTACTTAATAAACTCATTTATCACAAAAAAATAACTATAATTAGTCGATTGTTGAAAGTAAAGAAGTTTTGAGGGCTTATTTCGAGGATTTTTGTAATTAAAATACAAATTGCAATTCACTGGCCAAATGGTCGTTTTAAGAAAGAAAAGCAACCACACTTAAGCAAAGCCCTTTTGTCTTGAACCCAACCGAAAGCCTCTTTTATGGCATAAAAAAAAATATAACGTCAAATCGTTTGGGTTTTATTTTTTAATTTTTTAATTTTTTAATTTTAATTTTTTTATGAACGCCATCCTTTGAAAAGGTTGAAACTCAAAAGGATTTATAACGCTTGTCCCCAATTTGATTTTGGTTAATTAAATTGGGGGGGACGTACTAATCAAGCGCTAGAAAATAAAAAAGAAATCAAAGGCCCTTTTCTTCTTGTTCTTCTTCTACAAGGATCATAGATTCATAATAATATGCTTTTACAATAATAAAGAAGCTTTATATTGTAGAAAGCAATATCACATATCCTTAAGGAACCCTCAAGCTTAAGCTTCTTCCACATCATGCGGCTGTAAAGGCTTCACGTTACACGGTTACAGAATGGAAGGTGATTCATAGTTGTGGCTTTATATGCTTTGCTGCACGTTGTGCCTGAAAAGGTCTTTCTCTGTAATCTCTTTTCTTTTCCTTTTTCCTTTCAAGTAATTTTGAAAGCAAAAGTTTCATTGTATTGCGTTAAGTTTATTTTAGAACTAGGTTAATTTTATTTGGGTTTTCTTGTGACATGTGCTTTTAAAGGTGTAATTATTGTTTTTTTTTTATACTACTCTTTTTATATTTAAATAATGAATTTTTTAATTTTATCTTTAAATTAAGAATTTGAGCAAATTCTAATATTACCTATTTTTCCCTAAAAAATAATAAAAATAATATATTATTTTAATCAAATAATAGATAATTAAAATTAAGAAATAATCATAAGATTAAAGTAAAAAAAAACATTTGCCTCTCTTAAAATAAGAAAAAATAACTATTATTATTGAACACATTATAAATAAAAAAACATCTATTATTCTAAGATGGAAAGAGTAATTAGTATTGAAAAAACAAAAGTTGATATTTATTAAGTAACTGTTCAATTAAAGTAATTTACATGGCACTAATAATAAAATTAATGATAATTTTTATATTTTTTTAATATTAATTAATGTGAAAATTATGCAATAATTAAACCCTTTATCTATACCCTTAACCTATTTTATTTTTAACTTTAATCTTCTTATATCTATCTAATTGACTTGATTGTCGATTTTGTAGGATTGATGTTTGAGTACAATCATTTAATTTTTTTTACAATGCTAAACTATGAAGTTATATAAAAATAATTATAAATAATTTTATATTATATATGTGAAATCAACAATAATAATAATAAAAAAAAGATGAAAATGCTACATCAAGAAAAACTTTAATTTTCTTGTATCTAACTAAGTGACTTGATTGTAGTTTTTGTAGAATTGATGTTTGAGTATAATTTCTTAATTTTTGAACAATGTTTAAGTATGAAGTTATAAAAAAATAATTATAGATAATTTTATAGTATCTAGATTAAATTTTATTTTTCGTTTTTGAACTTTTAATTTTGGATATTTTTAGTTTTTGAACTATTCTTTTTATTTTTTTGATATTTAAATTATGAAAAATATATTTTTTAATCATTTCATTAGTTAGTCTATTACGTCTATTTTTATAGACACATTTTTAACCTTGAACTTATAATTTTAGCAACTAAAAATGTATAAATATGGATAAATTTAACGGATCAACTAATATAAGATATAAAAAAGTGAATTTTTTATAGTTTATTGATGAAAAAAAATATCGACAAGAATTTGATTGAGTTGGCAACTATTATCATGAAAACATTGATTTAGGGTTAAAATCAGATATTTAAATTTCTATATCGCCAAGTAAGTAATTGAAAATGTTCAAAATTATAAATTTAAAAACTAAAAATGGTATTTACCTTATCTTTTTTTTTTTGTGAAATCAACAATAATAAAAACAAGATAAAAATGTTCCATCAAGTGTTTGGGGGAGATATACTCAAAACAAAGTATATTAGAGTAAAATTAATGAAT